TGGATGGTGGGATAAGAAACACGCAAAGCAGGCGGGAGGGAATTGTTAAGCAAGATGGCCACTCCACCCGCATGGCCACGGTTTGAGTCTTGCCTGAACAAGTTGAAACTATCTATCATTATTTCACCATCTAGAATCTCTTGGTTGAGCCATGTTTCAGGAAGGGCTATAATGTGTGGTTCCTTATCACGCGCTAGTTACCGCAGTTCAGGGATTTTATAAGTCATACTGAGGCAATTGGTTGATAAGCACTTCAGCATCTGTTCACTATGTATTTCAGCAGATCTAGTAAAATGGCAGGGATCGAGGGAGTGATTTGAAGCGGTGGAGTTTCGGCCTTTTTGATCAGAGGAGTTGTGGAACCTGATACAGCGTCTTGGTGGGAGAAGCCATACGTTTGGCAGCTATGCCGCCTACTATTGAGATACCCTTGCCAGTTTTTGGTGGTTTCGCTCTGTCTGGTAGGCGAGAATGGTCTACAGGAGGCATAAAATGGGGCTGATGTATCTTGTTTTTATTGCAGTCTTGTCTTTGCTTTCTCGCTGGGAGGGATCTAGAGACGTTCGCCATGTGTAAGGGTTTGGGCACAAAGGAATTGTCTTTGGTTTTCCGGTTTGGTCGAATAAGATTTACTTTGCACCAGGGTAAGAGCAGAGGCTGCCTTGGAGAGAGGATTACCTAGTAGCCCCTTCATCCCAGCTGGTGGTCGGAAGGTGGGCACCTTGGTTGGGACTTTGACCTTTGCTGGAGCGTGGAAAACCTTCATAGTTGATGATACCTTGTGGTTGAGGATTCCAACTATTGTTGGTTCGTCCCAGGTTGTTTCGGCGAAGCTCGCATCGGGCGTGCTGGCGACTAGTGGGGCGAAGGGTAGATTCTTGACCTTTTTCGGTAACTGCAGTATCGCATAGACTAATTCAACAAGTGCAACTCGGTTCAAACCGGTGTGAATGTATAACGCTGTAAAAAACATGGTATATTGCCACTTTCCTGCACCGACAAAGACCGCCTATCACTGTAGAACTGGAAGACAACATTTTATGGGAGAATTCACTGGTTTTGGTGTTCTTTTTCAAAGCACTGAAAATGTCATCTCGAATGTTGAAGAAACGTTTACACCCAAAATGCTAACCTCGGCGAAAAGACGAAAATGAGTTCTCCGATTGGGTGGTACGTTCGAATTTGATTGAATGATATCTGCTCACTGTGAAATTTTATCGAATTGCAAACCAATGACCAGAAAAACGAAACAGACGGTTAATCTTTTTATTTATTCCTGCAAACAAGCTATATAATAAAGTATTTGCCTGGGCAAAGCCATCAATTGCATTCTTGCAGCACACGGGGCGTTAGCCCCACGGGGATTGCTTTTTGACTTGGTGCATACCGTTCTGCATTGCTCAAAATGCGCATCTGAAGTTAGTTCATTCAAACAAAGCCCGAGTTAATTTTACCGGTAATTATTTAGTTAAATAATTGCGCCAATTTATTAACTTTCAGTATAAAATTTATCATGCATATAATTTATTTCGTTCAGTTGTATTAAGATATAATGTCCTGGCATTACTCAAGTGGGACTCGAGTGCGGCAGTCCGTTCAGGAAAGCGTCTCTGGGACTCAAATAGCACTCCAATGGGATAGTCAACCCTCACGCTATGTGGACAGAGATTTTCAAAGACCGATAAAATACCCTAAAAGGTTATTGTTTATTACTGTTATTAGAAACGTTGTTAGATGAATGGTATTGATGACAGTTAGTACACATTCATCAAAACCTTCAAGCAATACATTTCTATAATTGTTTAATCCTCGACCCCGAGGCCCGGCCATATTCTTCGCCGGAATTCAACTCACAATCTATTTGCACTATTCTAACGTTCCGTACAGACTTGAAACTCCCGCACTAATGTGATGTACCTTTCTTCCCTCTTTTCCAGATATAGCCCCTAGAGTTTACGCACCGGAGCCACAGAAGATTGTACGATCACGAGCCTAATGGCCCGTTCCACTCCCCCGATGATAATACCAGGGAGAACCCCGAACGGTCCTACTTTGATTCGATCGCGACCGATATATATATATATCTGTGTATATCTAAGTCGCTGTTGCTACTCAGGGGATTTCTTTTCCTTTCGGGTTCCCTGATTGATTGGCTCGCGCGTATTTCCACACACATACAAAAGGATTCAAACAAAATACGAGATGCTGATAATTTTGGTCTAATTGATAAATCGGTCTTCCCGCCTGGCATCGCCACTGTGAATACCAACGCCAACATAACAACCACCGCCAAGAACACTATCAAGAACAATAACAACAAGCGCGGTGCCCACCATTCTTGTGCCCCTGTATTTGTCACTCACTCGTTTGTCTCACTGCAATTACGGACGGTCTGAGTCAGCACAGTTCATTGAAAGGAAAATACATGAACTTTCTCGCACGAAAGCCTCAGTGCTTCCTGTTGTTTCCTCTCTATTTTTGTGGACAGTATCTGTTGTTGTTATTATTACATTACTGTTAATAATATTGTTGATGTTGTTGCTGTTCTTGCTCCGAGGAATGTGAAAGACCCGGTTCCACAGAGACCAGCCTAATGGTGAATGAACGTGGTTAAAAAGATGAACTTATTTAACTGATAAACTATGTTCCCTATCCTATCCCACTTGCACGTGAGCGTGTTTACTGTACACATCTGGAATATACGTTTCCTCGCTGTAACTTGTGACTTCTCTCTGGCTCCACCCTGTGTGTGTGCCTGTCGAGCAACCAATCAGTGCGTTTAACGTACTCAATTTGTTCCAGCTTTGTGCGTGCCCACATCCTTAGAGGAATACTACATAATTGGCGACCCTGACAGGATGCCAAAGAAAGGTGTACCAGCTGTCGTGGTAGAAGAAGGAAAGCATTCTATTTTTTCTTCAATCACGAGTTTCTTCTTGATAATATTTTCCTTGCTGAGATCTGTCATTGCAGGTGGATTTGTCCGCACGAAGCCAACCCCCGCCCTCCCACAATCGGCAAA